CACTGTGAGACAAATGGGAAGGGTTCAAACTACCGGGGAAAGTTATATCGGTAAAAAAGAAGTTATACGTGTCCCGGCGTTTCGCTGGGTCACGTCTAGGAATCGAGATATATCGATTTGAAGTTAGTAACTATCATATAGGGGAAATTGTCACCTTTGGTGGTCTTTTTTTTGACATAACTCGAGAACCACTAGTCCGATTTTGCTCAAACAAATTTAAAAAAATTAAAAATTACAATTCCTTTAATCTGTTCATATAACGTTTTTCTATATAGGGAACAGTTTTGCCGGTAAAAATAAATGTATGAAGAAAAAAATATTTTTTGCCTAAAATATTAAATTTCATGATGTATGTCTCATTTTGTTTATAGGTTATGTGACTTTACGTGACACTTTTCTCCGTTTTGGATTTTTTATGAATTAAAAAAAAAATTGTAATTTTTAGGCAAAAATAATTTTTATTTTCTTAAAAATTAAATTTTTTTTTTTTAATTCATAATAAATCCCAAACGGAAAAAAGTGCCACGTAAAGTCACATAACCTATGAACAAAATGAGACATACATCACGAAATTTAATATTTTAGGCAAAAAATATTTTTTTTCTTCATACATTTATTTTTACCGGCAAAACTGTTGATTATATAGAAAAACGTTATATAAACAGGTTAAAGGAATTGTAATTTTTAGTTTTTTTAAATTTGTTTGAGCAAAATCGGACTAGTGGTTCTCGAGTTATGTCAAAAAAAAGACCACCAAAGGTGACAATTTCCCCTATATGATAGTTACTAATTTCAAATCGATATATCTCGATTCCTAGACGTGACCCAGCGAAACGCCGGGCCACGTATAACTTGTTTTTGACCGATATAACATTTCCCGTTGGTTTCATCCCATCCCGACTGTCGCATAGTGTTATTGAACCGCAAAAAAAAAAGCTGAAGTCCTCTCAACTGGTGCAGCGTCAATCGAAAAGAATTTACAATTTTGTAAAGTTTCAAGTTTTTCAAGTTTTTCGCCTCGATCGAGTAGTTATTTAATGGCGCAGGTTTGATTTACGACCCGTTAGGAAACAGGCTGTAACCCGAAAAAGCAGCAAAATACAATGTTCCAATTTTTTAATTTAAGTACTAAATAAAAAAAAATATTAAAAATTACTAAATTTTCCATTTTTTTGCCTAAATCACCTAATGTACTCACCAAAAAATATTTCTTAAAATACAGTGAAAGGTCGCATAGACGGACGCTCTAATGGTCTGATTATACATACTTCGCATAACTTCGCATAAACTTCAAACTGTAATTTCGTATGTACTTTGTATCTAATTTGTATGTATTCCATTATCCAGAAATTAGCAGCACTTTTAAAAACTTAGCGATCTGTTGAGTTTAGATTTTGGTTCACATTTTCTTAAGTTACATTTATATTGCACTGGTACAAATAGTTGTGCGAAGTTATGCGAAGTATGCATAATCAGACCCTAATAAGCGGACACATTCTTCGGAACGGAGAATTTTTGGTTTTTTTCCATACAAAATGCTCTCCCATACACGGACTTTCCGATAAACGGACGCGGACACTCAAAAACGTCCAGTTATGAAAAAAACTCTACCATAAGCGGATGCGAAGCTCTAACAAGCGGTCAATTTTGTTTTGTTTTTCAGTCAAATACTGTCTCTTGCGCTTCTACATATGTATATGCTACGCTTCTTTTATCTGGAGACCCTATCATGGATGCCATATTAATAGACTCGAGCGGGTTCAAAAAACGTTTTTACGCTTTGCTCTGCGGTCGCTGAATTTCGCGGACCCTATTCCCTCATATAAAGCCAGATGTGCGCTAATTGACTTGAAATCTCTTCAAAGCAGAAGAACTATCCTTTCGCTCACCTTTGTCTTCGATATTATTAAGGGTGTAATTGATTCATCATATCTCCTCGAGCGCATTTGTTTCCATATCCCTAACCGGACTCTCCGAAATAGTGATATTTTTTATACAGGATGTGTCCGAACTCTTTACGCTTCTAGTGCTCCAATTTTTCGAGCTCTAACTGAGTTCAATATACTCTCAAATTCTCTAGCCATTGATTTTTCTCTATCTAAGTCTGATTTCAAATCAATGTTAAATGCAATGAGTTTTAATGCATAACTCCTTCTATTTCTAAGTAGTCTGTAAGTAACTTTGTTAATCTAGATTACTACTGAATGAATAAATAAATAAGCATAGCCCATATTCAAAAATATTTTCTTTTTTAGAAAAAGTGTTGCCTTTTCGTTGCAATGGGCAATGAGATTTGTCGGTAGGAAAGAAAACGCAATAAATTTGAATTTATTTTTAATTCACCCTGTTTCTGTCTATTGAAGAATAAATATTACTTTAATTTAGAAACCCGCAATTTAAATTTTTTAAGTATGAATTTTTATTTTATTTTTTACGAAATTCCTATAAGCGGACATCTCTCATAGGCGGACAAAAAAGGTGTCCATCGGTGTCTGCATATTGGAGCTTTCACTGTATTTGACATCCGCATTCGCATTCGCATCCGCGGATGCCACATTCGCAACGTCCCTGGTCTGTACAATAAAATGAATTGTTATACGCAGTTAATTTGTTTTTATTGTTTATGTTATCTATATTTTTAAAAAACTTGACATTGAAAAATTATATTAAACTCTCAAAGAAATGTTTAGTAGGTTTTGGTAGGTTATGGTAGGAAATTTTGGTAGGAAAAAAATTTAAATGTGGCAACACTGATCATGCATTAAGGTCGGTGTTATGCAGAAATTTTGTTTGGCAAACTGCGTGCAATTGTTGTTGCAGCAAACTCGGAGAGAGCGAGTTTGGCGACTCTCACAGCAAACTAATTTTGTTTGGTCAAACTGCAGCAAATTCGGTGTTGTCATATACAAAAATTTTAAATTTTGCGCGTTATGTACATCTGAAATTCTCATTTCGTGTTGGCAATAGCCAAGAAAACCATAATGAACGTGCAACCCTGTGCCAAACTCGACATAACCACCTCCGAGCAAACTAAGCAGCCGCCATTTAATTTGGCAAACAAAAGTTTGTCTGCATAACACCGACCTAACGTGTGATCGATAAAGCAGTTCTTGTATTCTACCTCCGATTTGTGTTAAAAATTGTAATAGATGATAGCCGCTTTATTTTTGTTCTTATAAGCTGGCAACCATACTGCAAAACTACCCTTACAAATCCCTCCAAAAAATAACATCAAAATATAAACATACGTATTCGACTTGGCAACGTTGCAAAATAATAACAAAGATGTCAACAAAATCAATTGTAAAAATTTAGAAAAATATTTAGTTTTATTAGTTTTTAAAATAATTTGTTATACTTACAACCCAAATTTAACAAGTGAATTGCAATGAGATAGTAAGACATCAACGACAATAATTTCAGACGTAATTGCATTTGTTTTGTTGATATTCTTTAAACTGTTATTCTTTTTTTAGCATTCGGTGCACAAAAAGAAAACTTTACAATACAAGCCTCGTTAATGCAACATTTAAAAGCACGTATCCCATAAATAATTCCGACAAACCAAGAAATGAAGTTGCTGTGGTCGTTGTGGGCGGAGGACTGGCCGGGCTCTCAGCAGCGAATCATTTAATAAAAAATGGTTTCAAACGAACCATAATACTCGAAGCCACCGACCGTTGTGGTGGACGCATCATTTCTAAACAATTCGGAGATGCTTATTGTGAATTGGGAGCAAAATGGGTGCCAATTAATGCAAAGGAGAACACTGTATATAACATGGTACAAAATATGAGAGGGCTACCAAAAAAGTTATTACAAAACAAAGACAAAATGTATGTGAACACATCTGGAGAAAAGGTGGATAAGCCACTACCAGAACTCATAGATATTCTCTATAAAAGACTTTGTTCGCATATCCAGTTTGATGAGAAATACAAAGCTGGGGCAATGGATGATTTGAATAACGTGCATACCTATTTACAAGCCGAAAAATCAAAGCTCGTAAATTCTGTATTTAAAGGTGAAGATCGGAAGACGGCGAATGAAATATTCAACTCGCTCATCAAAGAGTTTGGCAGTTTGTTAGGATGTTCACTGGAATATGTTAATATCGAACACATAACAAAGCTCCAGAATGGTGTACATGGTTCAAACCACATATACATACCGACTGGTTTGGACAATATTCTAACAATTTTAACAAAGAACCTGGGGAAACAACAACTGAAAATTGGTAAACCAGTTGGTGAAATTAATTGGTTTATCCCATCTAAAAGTGGGGAGAATTGTGTAGCTTGTTTGGACGGCGATGTATTCCATGCAGATCACATAATTTGTACAGTTCCTTTAGGAGTACTAAAGATCTTTTCTGAAAACATGTTTAGACCTGCATTACCGCAGAGTAAAATAAATTCAATTAAAAAACTTGGCTTTGGTAGTCCTGTTAAAATTTACTTCGAATACGATGCCAATACTGAGAGTTGGCTTAAGAGTAGTTTGCGACCACTGTGGAGCTCTTATGGGGTCGGCGCTGAAATTACATGGACGAAACAAGTAGTAGAGATATCAAAAATGCCAAAAAGTAATAGGGTAGTTGAAATAGTTATCGGTGGAGAATGGTACGATAAAATTGAAAAATTGCCTGATATTGAACTACTTACGGAAATAACAAAGTTAATACGTATCTTATTGAAAAACCAAAGCATACCCTACCCAAGTTCTGTGCTGCGTTCTAATTGGAGTTCACTGGCATGCTACTTAGGCGGTCGCCCTTACTTCTCCACCGGTAGCACAGTTAACGATGTTCTGACACTGGCCGAACCTCTCGGTCCAATGCAAAGCCTACTATTTGCTGGAGATGCAACAATTGTTGATGGCTTTGGTACAGTAGATGGTGCACATCGGAGTGGTATTCGTGAGGCTCAACGCATAATAGACCACTATAATAGTCAATTTATAGTGTAAATGATAAATTCGAGCAATACAAAGCAATGTGATATTTTTAGCTCAGTTTTATTCACATTAATGAACTTGAGTTTGGAAAAAACAACTTACATAAATTAGCTTACATATTAGCAAATAACACAACAACAATGCAAAACTGCTAAAAGATTTGATAATACAGTTTTTGGCCATAATTTCAACAAGTATAATATAATAATACAATGTAATATCTAACATCTAATGGAATATATAGAAAGTACACAGCGTTCGTTGTTGTTGAACCTATTGAAGTACATCTTCAGGTTCGTTCCCTAAACGAGTCATTTTTTTTTTTGCAAATTCTAAGTCTTCATTATTAATGCAATAGTTATTTTTTCTTATTTTTCGCAGATATCATCAGCAGCTGCGCTCACTTCTTTCCAAGAATAATCCATGTCCTCTGGCTTAGTAAATCTGGAACAAACAGCCATGCGCAAGAAGTATACATCATTTATTTTACTTGGGACCATGTGGATGTTACCGCGTCCATTTATATGTTTTAATAGCTTCTCATTCACTGCGTTAGAACTCTTTAAACGGAAACATACAAGACCCATATTTACGTCACCGACAATCTCGAATCGTTCATCGGCTCGGCAAAGATTGGCAAACTGCGTAGCATAACCACAATGACGTCTTATGTGCGCTTGCAGATTCTGCACACCATATAAGCGAAGTACGAACCACAATTTCAACGCACGGAAACGGCGACCAAGCGGAATTTGCCAGTGTCTGTAGTCGGGAGCTGAACCTTGCATGTCATGCTTCAAATACAAGGGATCCACGTTGAAAGCGTTCACCACCCAACTGGGGTCCTTTAGCCACATAGCGCTGCAATCAAAATTCACCAGCATCCATTTATGTGGATTGAAATTGAAAGAATCGGCTGTTTCAATGCCTTTCATCAGGTGACGATACTCAGGGCAAATGAAAGCGGCGCCAGCGTAGGCAGCGTCCACATGTATCCAAACGCCGTATTTATTGCCAACAGGACCACATTGGTCTAAGTGATCGAAAGCACATGAATTGGTGGTACCCAGGGTAACGACAGCCTGAATATTTAAATAATGAAAAAAATTAGAAAAAGCAGATGATATCAGTAATTTTTCTTTGGGCGAATAGCTGTAAAAAAAAACCTTAATGTGTACACAAATTTAAACAAAAATAGTACATTTAAACAAAAATAGTAAAAAATAAATAGTAAAGTTGAATTTTCTGTTACATAAGACAGTTCTTAGACTAGAAAGTTAACTCAAATTCGGCAGTTATTTCCTGATTTTCAGTACAAAATAGAAAGTGAACTGTCAAATACGTATTAACTCTCTCCTGCAAAAACACCTCCTACAGTGTCTTTGAGTTTAAAGGCTTAACTATAATTGGTGGCTTTAATTTAATGTTAATATTTAAAACTAACGTAGAAAATTTATTTCATTTAGGGCCAATTTCACAGTCACTCAGAATCGACAGTTAACTACTGAAAATCTGGGCTCGGATCTTCACATACGATAGCGTACCACTCGTCACGTAAAAACACATTTTTCGGATTATGACTTACGTAAACGTACTCTATGTCCCATTTAGCTTATACTGCCTGACGTATCAGGTAATTTTCTTTCGTATCGTTTTCGATCCGTGAACGGATGTTACGATTCGAGCCCTGTAGTAAACTGCCGATTCTGTGAAATTGGCTCTTACACTTACGTAAAATGGTATGAGCCCATCCTCCAAATCCTTTTTTATGGCTGCTTCCAAAGCATCACCGCGAAGCCTATTATTTTCATCAGCTGGCACGCCACGCAATCTAACACCACCCAACATGCCGGCACGCTCCACTGAAGAATGTGACTGAGATGAGCTGTAACCGATCAACTTTGAAATAATTGTATTTTCACTCCAATCTGGGTGCTGTTTCTTTATTTCCTCAATTTTTTT